TAAATTAAAGAGAGAGGGAGGGAAGGAGGAATCATGTGATGATGGGGATGAGATGGGTCACTCAAATTATGGAAATACTGGACATCTTCTAAATATTCCAACTTTAACCAATTGCACTTCCCAGTTTGCTTTCAGTCGCGTTTTTCATGCTACTGAAGCTTGGTGTCCAACCAAATGCTATTAGCCACGGCTCACGGCCTCAACTCACTCCACACATTCCCATCTCCACAGAAGTATTTTCCACTTGGAAAATCTCTATGCATACATTTGTGCTCTCAGTTCCCTAAAACAGGTATTTCCCACTTGGCAACTGTAAGATTTGTGGACTTCAACTCCCAGAATTCCTCAGTTAGCCATACTGGCTGGAGAATTCCGGGAGCTGAAGTCCACAAGTCTTCAAGTTACCATGTTTGGAGACCCCTACCCTAAAGACTGGAATGTTTTCAGTGGTTTCAGGAACACCAGTTGGGTTGTGATGTTGACAAAATGATCATTATCTTCATTTCTAAAATAATGAGGCGAAAACATGGGGTTTCTTGCTGTAGGAAAGCATGTTCATGATAAGTTTCAGTATAGTAATAGTCAATTTTGCTTTTCAGTTTCACTGTATTTCCTGTCCTAGTTTTCTGGATACCTGAAGAGATAGGCCATATTCTTGGTCTTTGTCCTCTGTTGGTTGCCTTAGAAACTGTAGAATCCAGCAGTCACATTGGCTAATGGCAGCTCTGTCCTGCCAGTAATAGAATGATAGAGGTGGACAATTTAATGAAAAGTGAAGTACTGTGAAATCAGTGGAAATGCCATTTCAGAGCTTATTAGGGGGAAAGGGAAAAGGCTTCAGCAGAAGGTCTGCAATTCATAGCAAGGCTCATGTTAAATGTATTGATATATATATGAGAATTAATTATGCTAAAAATTCGACTCTTGGGTAAAGTCATAGTAAAAAAGGATAAAAACCGAGCACCAAGAGGAATGAAATTTAAAAGTTTAAAAATTTAATAAGCCGAGCTTTCGTCAGAACTGTCTGACATCATCAGGGCGTTAAAACAGCAGTCTGGGAGAAACCCTTATAAAGTGTCAATCGCCTGCATCCGGCTTCTGCCGGATGACGCGTAGCAGAAGCCGGATGCAGGCGATTGACACTTTATAAGGGTTTCTCCCAGACTGCTGTTTTAACGCCCTGGTGATGTCAGACGGTTCTGACGAAAGCTCGGCTTAGTGCTCGGTTTTTATCCTTTTTTAATATATATATATATATATATATATATATATATATATATATATATATATATATATATATATATATATATATATATATATATATATATAT